ACTATTACCCATTTCCAGAATTTTTAAAATCATCCCTAACAGGGACCTTGTACCCAGTAAGCAATAGTTCCTTCATTTTCTCCTTTCCACAGCCCCTGGTAACCTCTGTTCTACTTTCTGTCTCTTGAGTTTGCCTATTCTAGGAATCTCATGAATGGAGTATTTGTTTATCTGTGTCTGGTATATTTCACTTAGTGTAATTTCTTCAAGGTTTATTTGTACTATGGCATGTGGCAGAGTTTTATTCTTTTTGTTGTTTTGAGTCAGAGTCTTGCTCAGTTGGCCAGGCTGGAAATATAGTAATGTGATTACAGCTCACTGCAGCCTCAACTTCCGGTGCTCAAACCATCCTCCCACCTCAGCCTCCCAAGTAGCTGGCACTGCAGGCACCTGCCACCACACCCAGCTGATTTTTTTTATTGGGGTCTTGCTATGTTGCCCAGGCTGGTCATTCCCTTTTACGGCTGAATAATACTCCATTGTATGGCTGTACCACATTTTGCTTATAAGTTTGTCTGTTGACAGACACTTGGATGGTTTCTGCTTTTCAGCTTTTGTGAATCATGATGCTGTAAACATGTATCTGAGCCCCTGCCTTCAGTTCCTTTGGGAATTACTGGATCAGATGGCAGTTCTAGGTTTAACGGTTTGAGGAACCACTGTGCTGTTTTTCACGGTGGCTGCACCGTTTTACATTCTGACCAGCAATGCATGAGGGTTCTAATTCCTCCACATTCTCACCAACACTTCTTTTCCATGTTTTTTTGTTTGTTTGTTTTTGGAAACAGAGTCTTGCTGTGTTGTCCAGAGTGGAGTGCAGTGGTGTGATGTGAGCTCACTGCAACCTCTGCCTCCCAGGTTCAAGTGATTGCAGGCGTGCGCCACCATACCAGGCTCATTTTTGTATTTTGTTTAGTAGAGGCATAGTTTCACCATGTTGGCCAGGCTGATCTCGAACTCCTGGCCTCAAGTGATCTGCCTGCCTCGGCCTCCCAAGGTGCTGAGATTACAGGCATGAGCCACTGCACCTGGCCTTTTTTTTTTTTAATTCGTCATCATTGGTGTGAAATGATACTGGACACTTTTAAGGCTTTTCATACCTATATCCACACTATCAGATTCCTACCAATAGTTTTCCCACACCTATCTCAAAACTGGTTATTTTTGTTCTTTTTCACCTTTGTAATATAAGTGATTTTATTTTTTTGGAGTCAGGTCTCACTTTGTCACTCAGGCTGGAATGCAGTGGCATGAACATGACGCATCGCAGCCTCGACCTGGGCTCAAGCAATCCTCCCACCTTGGTCCCCCAAGTAGCTGGAACTGTAGGCATGTACCACCATGCCTGGCTGGATTTTGTACTTTTTGTAGAGTCGTGGTTTCACCATGTTGGCCAGGCTTGTCTCAAGACTCCTGATCTCAAGCAATCCGCCCACCCCGGCTTCCCAAAGTGCTGGGATTCCAGGCGTGAGCCACCACACCTAGCCAGGATTTTAAAAAAAACAGTTCTGTGCTTTTAGTCATCTGTTCTTTGATTACTAGTCAATTTTTTTTTCATCAAATTATGGCTTTTCTTGGTTTTCATGGCAAGTGTATGTTGAAGGTGAACTCTTGTCTCCATAGCTCATAGCCAGTGGACCTTGGTCCGCTGAATATTTCTGTTGAGATGCTGAGCAACAGCTCAGGACTTGTACCACGATGGGACTGTTCCCCGTGGCGCCTCTCACTCTCAGCCTCGCCCATCTGCAAGGGAAGCTCATGCTGTTTTTAATTTTGAGGCAGTGTCTGGCTCTGTTGCCCTGCCTGCAGTGCAGTGGCGTGATCTCTGCTCACTGCAACATCTGCCTCCTGGGATAAAGTGATCCTCCCACCTCAGCCTCCTGAGTAGCTGGGACTACAGGCACACACCTAATTTTTGTATTTTTATTAGAGACGGGGTTTCGCCATGTTGCTCAGGCTGGTCTCAAACTCCTGAGCTCAAGTGATCCACCCACCTTGGCCTCCGAAAGTTCCAGGATTACAGGCAAGAACCACTGTGCCTAGCCATCTCGTGCTTGTACACAGGCCCCACTGTGTTTCTCATAAATACTGTCTATTTGCATTGTGTATATCTGAGACAGTATCCTTCCGGCTTGTTTCCTCAAGATAGTGATGTGTTCTTTCAATGGGGTGAGATAAGCACAAGTCACGTTACAGCAGATAGGCTAAACTGGGTTTGGTTTATTCAAGATATCCCTAAACCATAAAACTGGATTAGCTCTGCGCACATGAGGCTGCGTGTACACAACCACACCCGAGGCACAAGCATGACTCTTGGTTTATCAGAGACCCACACACTTGGGACAGTGACCCAGATTGCAGCCCCTGCCAGGTGAGAACCAGCGAGTGCTGCCGTTGCAACATCCCCCTTATTGACCACTGAGTGCTCCGTTAGCTCCAGAGCTCTCTTTTTAGCCTGGGGGTGCAGATGCTAAACTGGGCTCCCCAGGCAGAGTGCTGCTTGTTCACACCCGGTTATGTTTGGCCACATACAAGTCCCTGTCTGGTAATTGGAATGAAAGCAGCTGTAAAAGGATCCAGTGGGAAAGGTGTGTAAGCTTCTGTGGGCGTGGAAGGAAAGAATCGGCTCCGCAAGGCAGAGTCGGTGGTTTCGTTGTAAACTCGAGGGTTTGCAGCAGGCCAAAAAAAGAAAAAGAAGGAAACCACTAAAGAGTTCCTGGTAGCAACCAAGTGAATACATTCTGGTCCATCATACAGTGGACTACAACACAGCCATGACAAAGCAACAGAGCTGTACGCAGCAGTGCCCCCTTACCTGGTGTCTTTTTTTTTTTTTTGGAGACAGAGTCTCGCTCTTTTGCCCAGGTTGGAGTGCAGTGGCTCAATCTCAGCTCACTGCAACTTCTGCCTCCAGGGTTCAAGCAATTCTTCTGCCTTAGCCTCCTGAGTAGCTGGTACTACAGGCGCACACCACCACACCCAGTTAATTTTTGTGTTTTTAGTAGAGACTGGGTTTCATTATGTTGGCCAGGCCAGTCTTGAACTTCCGACCTCGAGTGATCCACCTGCCTCAACCTTCCAAAATGTTCAGATTACAGGTGTGAGCCACTGCACTCAGCCCGTTTCATTTTCTGTGGTTTCAGTTACCCCACAGTCAACCTGGTCCAAAAATATGAAGTTGAAAATCTCAGAAATAATTCCTGTTTTAATTGGCACACTGTACTGAATAGGGTGATACAATTTCACTTCGTCCCACCGGGATATCATTCATACCTTTTTCCACTTTATCCACACTGATATAACACTACCTACCTGTTACTGCATAGGAAAAAGCATAATGTATACAGGGTTCGATACTGTCTGTGGTTTCAGGCACCCACTGAAGGTCTTGGAACGTATCCCCCAAGGGTAAGGGATTATTGTGTGCTTGTATGATGACACAGAAATAGCCCAAAGATTTATTTATTTATTTAGAGACAGGATCTTGCTGTGTCACTCAGACTAGAGTGCAGTCATGTGATCACCACTCATTGAAGCCACCTACTCCTGGGCTCAAGCAGGCCTCCCACCTTAGCCTCCCAAGTATCTGGGACTACAGGTGTGAGCTACTGCACCCAGCTCATTGTTTTGTTTTTTGTAGAGATGGGGTTCTGCTATGTTGCCCAGGCTGGTCTCAGAACTCCTGGACTCAAGTGATCCTTCTGCCTCAGCCTCCCAGAGTGCTGGCACTGCAGGTGTGAACCACTGATCCCAGCTCCCAAATTTATCAGTTTAAAAAAAAAAAAGTATAAAGTAGCACACAGTGTAATGCCTCTTTCGTTGCTCAGATTATGCTCTATGTGAAGGTCAGTTGAGAGGAAGGAAAGAGGCAAGGGGGGAGGGGGGGAGGGAGGAGGAGGAGGAGGAGATAAGACTCAGGCTGTCCATGGCTGGGCCTGTCTTATTCTAGGCAGTGGTTGTCACAGGACGAGACCAAGCAAACAGTGGCGGAGCTTTTGGCAAGAGACACTGTCAAGGGGATTTACACTTCTAGAGTAGTTGAAATAGAAAATCTCTGCGGTCTTTTCACAGCCAGTTTGGAGGAGAGGGTGACAGGGCGGGCAGCTGGATGCGGTAGCTAAGAGTGTAAGCTCTGGAATCAGACTTCCTGGTTTAGGATCCTAGGCAGGACCACTTCTGAGCCTCATCTCCCTAAAAGGGAGATGTTGTTATCATCTCTTGGCTGGGTGCAGTGGCTCATGCCTGTAACCCCAAGACTTTGGAAGGCTGAGGCAGGTATGGATCACTTGAGATTAGGAGTTCAAGACTAGCTTGGACAGCATGGTGAAACCCTGTCTCTACTAAAAATACAATATATATATATATGTATAGAGAGAGAGAGAGGGAGAGACGGAGAGGGGTGTGGGGGAGAGCGCCAGGCATGCTGGCAGGCACCTGTAATCCCAGCTACTTGGGCGGCTGAGGCAGGAGGATCGCTTGAGGCAGAGGTTGTAGTGAGCCGAGATCGTGTCACTGCACTCCAGCCTGGGTGACAGAGAGACTCCATCTTGAAAAATAAATACATAAATAAATAAAATCATCTCTTCTGCAGGCTGGGTGTTTTCTTTGTGATTCCCAAGGCCCTAAGCCCAGTGGGAAATTTCTGCCATTTCCATTTGCCCTGCCATGACTTCCTGCCATCTGCTGACACTGTGTGACATGACACGCGGCTGCCTCTCCCTGGCTAGCATGGCCGCGGGGCTTGGGTCTGTCTCACTGTTTGTTTTTTTTTTTTGAGACGGAGTTTCGCTCTTTTTACCCAGGCTGGAGTGCAATGGCACGATCTTGGCTCACCGCAACCTCCGCCTCCCGGGTTCAGGCAATTCTCCTGCCTCAGCCTCCTGAGTAGCTGGGATTACAGGCACGCGCCACCATGCCCAGCTAATTTTTTGTAGTTTTAGTAGAGAGGGGGTTTCACCGTGTTGACCAGGATGGTCTCACTGTTCTTGTTTGTTCAACAGTGGACTCCAATGACAGCCTCTACGGGGGAGACTCCAAGTTCCTGGCAGAAAACAACAAGCTGTGTGAGACGGTGATGGCTCAGATCCTAGAGCATCTGAAAACCCTGGCCAAGGACGAGGTGGGTACCCTCTGCGGTCCTCCGCGGCCTCTCGCTCTGAAAGCACAAGTTTCCAGGGTGGTTTGTCGTTTTCCTTTCATTCTAGAAGGGAAACTGTCGTGAGCAGTGTGTTTATGTGCAAACCACTTCTCCAGTGCTTTGGGGCCTTCGCTCCTGCTGTTTTCTCTGCCTGGACCCGCCTCCCCCAGGGCTTCCCCTGGCTGTTCCTTCTCGTCATTCAAATCTCAGCTCAGGACCTCCTCAGAGAGGCCCTCCCAGACCCTGTCTTGAGGAACCACCACCAGCTGCATGCGTCTTCCCCATTGTCCCTGTAGCCCCTGATAACCGTCTGAAATGTTCAGTTTGTCCATCCCCCGGCTCCCCAACTAGAATGTAGTAAGCTCTGTGGGAGCAGGGACCTGCTGAGTCTTGAAGACCTGACTGTGTCTGAACGGCAAGACAGAGACTCTGGGACCCTGCTGTAGCACTCTGCACCACCCATGTCTCACGCAGAGCCTGGCCTGAGGCAGATACTCCATCACTATGTGGTCAATCAGTGACAGCATGGAATTGCTATACCCGGGCTCTTTCAGTGCCCACAACAGCCCTGCGATGTAGGTGCTGTGTTTATTTCCACTGAATGGGAAGGGAAACTGAGGCTCAGAAAGGGTTATTCAGAGCCCTTGGTATTTCCTCTGTGATAAAACAGCAGATTCTAACCCCAATTCCCAAACCTGAACTCTGCACTGCTACATTGCCCTCCTCAACCAAGGCGTTTCCACTTTTTTTTTTTTGAGATGGAGTTTTGCTCTCATTGCCCAGGCTGGAGTACAATGGTGTGATCTCAGCTCACTGCAACCTCTGCCTCCTGGGTTCAAGTGACTCTCCTGCCTCAGCCTCCCAGGTAACTGGGATTACAGGTGCCCGCCACCACGCCCAGCTTATTTTTTTAGTAGAGATGGAGTTTCACCATGTTGGCCAGGCTGGTCTTAAACTCCTGAGCTCAAGTGATCCACCTGCTTTGGCCTCCCAAAGTGCTGGGATTACATGCATGAGCCATGTGTGGCTCACTTCACTTTTAAGAGGTGGTGTGTGTTCATTATCTAGTAGGCTGTGTTTTTCCACCCCCTTCAGTGTACGTTTAGTATAAAGAATTTTGCATGGATTATTCCACTTAATTCTCACAGCAGTCCCTTTATGCTTTACAGATGAGGAAACTGAATCCTAGGGCAGTAGCTGTAGAGTATGGTCAAGGCAATTTTCTGGAAGCCCTGCTCTTGTCCACAAACTAGATTTTTATGAGATGTTGTGTCTTTTATGTTTTCAGAGCAGTTTTTTTTCATATTCTCTATATAGCTGATTGATTTCAATGTGATTTCCATCTAGTACAACCTAATTACCTGGTTCCCTTCCCAAGCTATGCTGTTGACCATGGCTTCCATTTTCCCAGCTTTGGCCCAAATGTGTGAGTGACATATGGGTCCCAGATGCCCTGTCTCAAATGTGGCTGAGCCGGTTAGTTGTGTAGACATGCGTGTGTGTTGCTGCGGTTAAGGCTGATTGCTGTAGTGTAGTCAAGGTGCAGGCACGGGAGGCTGGCAGCATCTCGGGAGTCAGAGCCAGTGCCTGGCCTGTCTACGTTCTTCCCTGACTGTCTGCTCCACACACTTCCCCTAGGTCTTTCCCTTTATCCACTAGGAGCTGTTTGCTCAAAGCTCTGAGCATCTGGATTACTTTATTCCCACCTAGCAAAAGATGTTGCCTGGTAACTCATTCCTGATATCCTCCTGACAGGAGAGGCCTCTGTTCTCTCTCCTTCCTCCTCCTCAGTTCCCGTCCCCAAACCTGAAATGATTTTTGGCTCTCCGGTTCTTAATGCCTTTCCCACCCTGTCCTCCTTCCAAAGCGTGTAACCACTCCCCTCCTCCAGCTCCTTCATTCCCAACCCACTGGGTCTTCCTGGAGTTCCTCTTGTTCCTCCTGGGTTTTGCTCCTCAGCAAGGATTGCTTAATTCCAGGAATTTGAGAGCAGCCTGGGGAACATAGTAAGACCTCATCTCTTAGAAAAAATATCATGGTGGTGCGTACCCTGAGTAGCTGGTACTACTCAAGAGGCTGAGGTGGGAGGATCGCTTGAGCCCAGGAGTTTGAGGCTGCAGTGAGCTGTGATTGCACCACTACCCTCCAACCCTGGCAGCAAAGCAAGACCCTGTCTCTAAAATAAACAGAAACACGACGATATGGGTGGACCGAGCTGAAACTGAACATGTTATCCAGTGTTTTAATGGTGCAGTTTAAAGTTCAGCTAAAGCAATCATATTGGAATCCTCTAGAGTCTGGTACCCGCAGGAGTATGAGGCTTGGTACCCAGGCCCATCACAGCCCAGGAGGGGCCTGGTGGGATTTCCCACCCAGTGGGGCGGGCGGCTTCCTGCTGTTGGGAAACTCTGATGCCTGTGCTGTTTTGAGCATCACATCTCTTAGCACTGGTAGCAACCCTGCTTCCAGAATCATCCTCTAAGGTCACGTGAAGGTGCCAGCCTCGTTTTAATCACAAGCTGTATTTTATGAAGTTGTTTGTTTGGGTGTGGTGGAGCCGGGAACCATGCCAAACCCCTAGAGCTTCCTGGAAATGACAGTTCTCATGGGAAAAGCAGCCCTTTTCTATTTAAAACCTCTGTGGCGAGGGGAGGCAGGTCAGGCCTCATTTGGTTCCCCAGTTAAGTGTGTGTTTTTCTCCGTGTTTGAGTATCAGCTGGCATGTGTCTCATCCCTCAGACATGTCTCTCATGATTTCACTTTTAATGGGCTGCGGCATTTAAAACACATGCAAATTGAGCTTTTTGCTAATTGAGAAAATATGGTATGAAGAAATAGCCAATTAGGTATTGTGCTCCTTGTCTGACTTTTAAAACAATTTCTCCCCCTTCGGTGAATATTAGTCAAAGGGCCTCTATCTGAGGAGACTTTTAGTTGGCTTTGAAAGCGTTTTCTTTTAGCTTGGTCTTCTAGATCTAAGCAGAAAGCAGGGGCCCCCTGTTCTCCCAGGTGTCAGACAAGGACCAGGTTAAAAGGAGAGCAGAATAGGCTTAAGTTCCCACTTGGGGCATAACTGCATTGTCTGTTAGAACAAATGAAGCCAGAACAGGCGGTCACCAGGCAGTTAGAGAGTCCCTGCCCACTAGGTGCCAGCCTGCTTACCCATGCCAAAGTGCTGCCTTTTCTCTCTGTGCCTGCGGGCTTGGGCGCCCACAGCACAACCTGCTCCCCGATGACTGGGCTTTTCGCGGTTGGCTCTGCTGCTTCTGTGACTGTCACCTGCTCTAGACTGTTCCCAAAGCAGACTCAATTTGGGGGGGGTTGGGGTCGTGCAATGCCATTCAGCCACCTTGCCCAACTGCATCTGAAGCTGTTCCTTGACTTTTTTCTAAGACAGGGTCTCGCTCTGTTGCCCCGGCTGGAGTGCAGTGAGTAGCTGGGACCACAGGTGTGTGCTACCATGGTCAGCTAATTTTTTCTTTTCACTAGAAGATTTTAAATTCTCATTTGGGAAAAAAAGGAAGAAGGGGTAAATCGGCTGGCATAGCAGCTAGCAGGCTCCATGTGAAATACCTGTGGAACGCTGAATGGGATGGTTAATAAGTTGGTTTTAGCCACCAAGAGTAGTTGAGAAAAGCAGGAAGAAATGTGTTTTGGTGTAAGCCCAATCAAGCCATTCTTTCTCCCCGCATAAAACTGCACAGCCGAAGTGGCCCGTAGCACTGGGCAAGTCTCAGCCCTTTCCGTCTGCGATTCCCAATACCCTGTGACCCTAGGGGTGGGGCCTGGAGAGGGCTGTGAGTTCGCACATAGGCTCTGGAGTCAGCTGGAGCTCAGACTCCCCTCTGCATTACAAGGGCCCAACTGTGTTCCTTGGGCAAGTTCCTAACCTTTCAGAGCCTCAGGTGCCTCATCTGTAGAATGGGAGTCTATTAGTTTCCTGTTGCTGCCATGACCGATTGCCACAAACCCGGCACTTAGAGCAGTACCCATTTTTGATCTCGCCATTTGGTAGGCGAGCAGTCAGTGCCGGCTGGGGCTGCCATCTCTGTTCTGGGTTTCATAAGGCCAGAGTCAAGGTCTTGCTAGCTGGGGCACTGGAAAGAATCCACTTCCTGTTCCTTCAGGGTACTGGCAGACTGCACTTCCACGTGATCATGGACTGAGGTCCTGTGTCTGTTGGCCGGGCCTCCTCCTCAGCTTCTAGAGATGTCTTTTGGTCTTTTTACCAGCAGCCCAGGAGCAGGAATACTGACTGCGGCTTTGGGTAGTTTGAGGACACATCTGAAAGAGGCCGAAGTCTTTCGGTTTGTAGCTGTGCTTGCATTAAGGCAAGGCTTGTTACTGCTGGGTACCCTTCATTCCCAACCTCGCTGACTGGCGAGTTTCTTCCATTTCATGAGGAATGACCATCTGTGGGCACAGAGCTTCGTCATCTTACTGAATCCTCACCCTCTGCAGCGGTGACCTTCCTGTCATTTACAGATAAAGCAGCTGGGACTCTGGCAGGTTGAGCAGCTTGCCCTACAGCAAATACTTAGCAGAGCTGGCACTGGAACTCAGGCATGACCTAACACCCCAAGTCAACCACACTGTCCACAGCATGTCTGCGGGCCCGGCCTGAGCCCCAGTGCCAGGAAGTAATGTCCCTTTTCTATTTCAGGCCCTGAAGCGCCAGAGCTCGTTGGGTCTCTCCTTCTTTAACAGCATCTTGGCCCATGGGGACCTACGCAACAACAAGCTCAACCAGCTCTCTGTCAACCTGTGGCACCTGGCACAGAGGCACGGCTGTGCAGACACCAGGACCATGGTGAGGCGCGTGGAGGGCCCCGTGGTATGAGCGCACTGGCCAGTGCACAACTGCCTTTAGCACAGCATCAGGGCTGGGATATCAGACAACCCCATATTCCCCTTTTAGAAAGGCACTTGGGGGCCGGGCGCAGTGGCTCACACCTGTAATCCCAGCACTTTGGGAGGCCGAGGCAGGAGGATCCTTGAGGGTCAGGGGTTTGACACCAGCCTGGGCAACACAGTGAGACCTGGTCTCTACAATAAATAAAAAATTAGCTGGGCATGGTGGCGCACATCTGTAGTCCCAGCTACTCGGGGAGGCTGAAGACAGAGAATGGCTTGAGCCCAGGAGTCTGAGGCTGCAGTGAGCTGTAATCACACCACTGCACTCCAGCCTGGTGACAGAGCAAGATCTTGTCTCCAAAACAAAAAAAAACAGAGGCATAGCTTTAAAAGTCTATTCCCTCCGAATAAAAACCATAAAACATCAGTCATGTCTGGTCACACCCAAAAATCTGATTTTTAGGGCAAGTTGCAATCCAAGGTTTTATATTAAAGACTGATTTTTTCCCTCCCCTCATCCCTCAAAAGACTCTATTCCCTGCTAAGAAGTCTAAGCTCACATAATGGCCAATTCAAAAGACCTGGATCTTTCTTTTCCTCATAGGTGAAAACACTAGAATATATCAAGAAGCGAAGCAAACAACCAGACATGACTCATCTGACTGAGCTGGCGCTCAGACTCCCTCTACAAACAAGGACCTGACCCCCCGGGGCCGGTCCCCAGGCTCAGGGACTCTGGCACCAAATACAGAAAGATCTCCTCTGCTGCCCCGAACTCTTACTGGAATCTAGGTTTCTCATTTTTCTTTTCTTTTTATATATGTACCAATTGGTTTACACTTTGGCCTCTACCCAGGTTATTCTGACAGTGAAGAAATGGGGGTGACAGAGCATTAAAATGCCATCTTCACTGAGAAGCAGCATCTCTGTGTTTGCTTTGCACAAGTGGCCTTCCGTTTCTCAGCCCCAGAAAGGGCCTTTAGCAAGAGAGAAACAAGAATGCAAGTGACATCTTTCCTTTCTGGAAGGTATTTGTTTTTTCATAGCTGAGGAAAAAGGACTTTGAAAAGCAGTGCCACTTTATACCTTCAAGTTAGAGAGTGCCCAAAGTCTGGAACTCAGGCTTTATGAAAGGCAGAAATAGCGCTCCATTAACTTTTTCCTATCAAAAGCAGCTCTTGATTGGACTTAGAATCTGTGTTGGGACATCAAAGGAGAAAGTGAGGTCAAATTTGAGATTCTCTGTGGCTTCAGTATACTCTAACATAATAAATGTCCTGAAGGAGCACTTACGTTCATGACTGCTCATTTAATTACTTCTGACTGTCTTCCTCCAGAAGAGAGAGAACGTGTCTAAATAGGAGCCTGGTTTGCTTTGCAGCCACAATTTGAAACAGCATGTGATTCTGTCTGCTTTTCTCCCAACGGTTTGGTGGAACCTGATTCTTCTATTACTGCTGGTAAGCCTGCACCAACATTTCATTTTCAAACAATAAAAGCATTAATACTGATTGATTCATAATCTCAGGCCCACTGCCATTGTGAAAATGCATCCACATTGTGGCTTAAAAGTGCCCCAAACTATTGTGCATCTAGAAGATACACATTGGAATTAGACATGATTACATTTCATCGTACCTCTGAGAAATACAAGACTACAGTTAAACATTTGGTTAACCTCAGATGGTAAAAGGGGCTAAAAGATTTTTAAAATAAATTTATAGGCTGGGCAAGGTGATTCACACCTGTAATCCCAGCACTTTGGGAGGCTGAGGCGGGCAGATCACCTGAGATCAGGAGTTCCAGACCAGCCTGGCCAACATGGTGAAAACCTGTCTCTACTACAAATACAAAAACTAGCCAGGCGTGGTGTCACACATCTGTAATCCCACCTACTTGGCAGGCTGAGGCAGGAGAATCGCTTGAACCCAGGAGGCGGAGGTTGCAGTGAGCCGAGATCTCGCCACTGTATTCCAGCCTGGGCAACAAGAGCAAAACAACATCTCAAAAAAAATTTATAAAAGGACAGCAGACACAAAAGAATGCCTCTTTCCCTCCCCTCTACTAAATAAACCGTACAGAAACTCAGAAAGCACTGTGCTGTTGCTCAAATACTCCCAAGTGGCCTTTATTTGACAAAATTATTTTCATTAAAATTATTTTATCTACTACTTACATTGTGTGATGCTATTTAAGTGAAAAAAACAGTTGGCAAATTCACATATTATGTTCTTCAAGTCATTTCTTCTCCTTTGAGGCTGACCGTGTTGGACGGCATTGGTTCCAGTGCCGTCCAGTGAACTGGTTCCAAGCCTAGGCCAATGAATTCTTACTGCTCTTACATTAACCTCAACTTGGACTTTCACATGAGGTTGGGTACCCATTATACCAAAGGCACTTCTGAATCTTGTGTGGCCCAGGCGGAGGCTAGAATTTTGTACGTCCATGTGTGTGCAGTTTTCCCCAGTCCATTACTGAATCAGCGGTCTCTGAAAATCCTGGTCTGCATGGGCTGAGGTCTAGCATTAGGAATGGTGGAGCAATGACATGTAAGCCAGAATCATAGAAGAGCAAAATGATGGAAACTTCTACATGACACCTGTATTAGGTTTTCTATTGTTACTTTAACAAATCACCACAATTTTAGCAGTTTAACATGTTATCAACTTCCTGTGACTTCGCCACACATTCATCTCCTCCTCCTGGCATTCAGTATCCACCTACAGAAGTCAACTGGGATTCTCTTCCGTAAGATAAAAAAGAATCTCATCAAACACATCCCTGGGGTTGGGCACAGTGGCGCACGCCTGTGATCCCAGCATTTTAGGAGGCTGAGGCAGGACGATGAGTCCAGGAGTTTGGGACCAGCCTGGACAATGTAGCAAGACACCGTCTCTACAAAAATTTAAAAACTAGCTGGTTGGTGTGCATGCCTGCAGGCCCAGCTACTTGGGAGGCTAAGGTGGGAGGATCGCTTAAGCTGGACAGGTAGCGGTTGCAATAAGCCATGATCATGCCACTACACTCCAGCCTGGCTGACAGAGTGAGAGCCTATCTCAAAACACACACACGTCCCTGGGAATCTGCCATCTGGTTCATTTGCAGGACTAACCACTCCTAAAATGCCTTGTTCAGAATCCAGTCAAAGCACAAAAAGACAAAATCCTAGCTCAGCACTTAGGGTCACAGGGAAGCTCGTGGAAAAGGCAGGACTGCTTTAGATGCCCATTTCCCAGCAGCAGAGGAAGCTCAGCCACATGCGTTTGGTGACAACTCGGACACCTCCCTGCCTACAGCTGCTCTAAGGCCGGAAAGGAAAAGGAGCTTGCGATTCCCTGTTCCTCGTTCACTCCACTTCCTGTCAGACACGCAGACTTGTCATACTACTTTTGTTTCCCGGCCAAGCATGGTGATTCACCAGCACTTTGGGAGGCCAAGGCAGGCAGATCTGAGGTCAGGAGTTTGAGACCAGCCTGACCAACGTGGAGAAACCCTGTCTCTACTAAAAATACAAAATTAGCCGGGCATGGTGGCGCATGCCTGTAATCCCAGCTACTTAGGAGGCTGAGGCAGGAGAACCGCTTGAACCCAGGAAGCAGAGGTTGCAGTGAGCCAAGATCTTGCCATTGCACTCCAGCCTCTGCAACAAGAGCAAAGCTGTCTCAAAAAAAAAAAAAAAAAAATATTGTTTCCTCAATCTAAAGACATTTCAATCACCAATAAGGATTCTGGTGAAATGCCTGAGAAGGGACATTCAGAGTGGCAAATAGTGAACTTGGGGCTTCGGGTACAACCCCCTGCACTCAGTGGCTGGGTGACCTCAGGCAATTTTATTACTTTATCCCTGAACCTCAGTTGCCTCATCTATAAGATGGGGACAATAATAGCACCCATTTCATCATTATGAAGATTAAATGCATTAAGGAAGACACCAGTATGTCCCTAGCACCTGCTAAACACTCAGCAAAGGTTATCTGTACACACCTGATATCTCAAACACGGACAGAAAGTTTAACACAGAAACCAGGAGGATAAAACCACTCACTTGTTCTCCTGGCTCCAGAAACATGAGCTGCCCTGCCCCAGTTCATCCAAGCCCATCAAGACAGGTGTCCTTGTCCTTAATCTCCACTGGTGTTCAATGTGAGCCAAGTGTCAGACGGCTTTCATCTGCAAAACTAAATAACCCATTTATGCCTAGTGTTCCATTACTGGAACGCTAAGCTTATGGGAGTTATTTATATCCTACTGCTCAAGATCATCACCAAGATCTGATTTTTTACACACAAACAATTTGTAACCTCCAGCATGAATGGGATAATCAAAGTGATTGTGGCAGTTTTGGGGGGACAAAACTCTAGAGGTTAATCTTCCAGCTTGACTGACCTGGAAGCGTTCCTGTCAATGAAAAAGATCTTGTTGGGGGCGGTGGAAAAGCCGAGGCCGGCTCCTCGGCTGTACTTCCAGCTCATGGCTCGGTCATAGTCTCGCTGCAGGTTCTGCTGCAGGCTGTCTGCTGCCTTCTTGCTGAGGGCCATGTTGGGCCTTGCAGTGGTGCTTGGGGGGCGGCTGAACGAGGAGGACAGGTTTTTGAAGCCACCCATAAGTTTGAGAAATTTCAGTTTCTGTTCCTCGTTCTCAAAACTAGCAGTATCCCACTGGCCAAACTGGGTTACCTGTGAGGAGAGGAAAAAGGTGTCTATTTCCCTTGAGTCCAAAACCCTTTCCTTCCCTTGCCGCCAGCCTTACCAGAGAGGGCCCAGCAGATTAGATGGCTGCTGTGTACCAGGCACAAGGCACAGTGCTAATAAGCTCAACAGTGGATTATTCCATTAATCCTAATGAGAGCCCTGTGAGAAACACTGTTGTTATTCCCATTGCACAGAGGAGGAAATAGAGGTCTGCAGCTTAGCTGGAGACAGAAACCTAACTAGTGACCACTGGAATTCCAGCCCATGTCCAGCCAACAACACTACACACCTCTGCACACAGAGCTGCCTTTCTGCGCTCCTCCTTCCCGAACTCATGGCACAGAGTACAGTGTGCCTCACTTCCGAAGAGCGCACCCTCCCCCGACTCCCTACACAGCGCTCTCTCCCCACCTCCCACACACCACACTCCCCTCACTCCCTACACAGCAACCTTCCCCCAACTGCCTACACAGCACTCTCCCCCCACCTCCCTACACGGCACCCTCCCCCCATCTCCCTACACAGAACTCTCCCCACCTCCCTACACAGTACCATTCCCCCACCTCCCTACACAGCATACCTCTAAACATCACGATCCCCCCAGCTCCATACAAAACACTCTCCACATCTCCCTACACAGCCCACTCTCCCCATTTCCCTACACAGTGCGCTCCCCCCACCTCCCTACAGAGGACACTCCCTTCGCTTCTCTAAACAGCACACTACCCCCACAGCCCTACACACCATACCTCCCTACACAGCACAGCCTCTACTCCCTATAGAGCATACTCCCCCCACCTCCCTACAGTGTACTCCCCGACCTCCCTACACAGCATACGTCCCTACACAGCGCTCTCCCCCCACCTCCCTATACAGCATACCTCCCTACACAGGGCTCTCCCCCACCTCCCTATACAGCATACCTCCCTAAACAATGCTCTCCCCTCACCTCCCTAAACAGCATATCTCCCTACAAAGCGCTCTCCCCCCACCTTTCTACAAAGCATAACTCTCTACAAAGCGCTCTCCGCCCACCTCCCTACACAGCATACCTCCCTACACAGCGCTCTCCACTCACCCTATACAGCATAGCCCCCTACACAGCACTCACCCACCACCTCCCTACACAGCATACCTCCCTACACGGGGCACCCCCCCACCTCCGTACACAGCATTCTCCCCCCACCTCCCTACACAGCATACCTCCCTACACAGTGCTCTCCCCCCACCTCCCTACACAGCAT